CGGGGTCATGAAATTTTTCAAAAATGACCAAATCCTCATTTTCATTATATGAGCTTGAAATGCACCAAAACTACCCAAAACGTTTTTCAGAACGTAAATCAAGCCGCTCTTAGTTGTTTCAGGTAAAGAAAATTTTTTGAAAATTTTCAAATTTTTTAAACTTTTTTGCAGGTCCGGGGTCATGAAATTTTTCAAAAATGACCAAATCCTCCTTTTCATTTTATGAGCATGAAATGCACCGAAACTACCCGAAACATTGTTCGGCACGTAGATTTAGACTTTCTTGGTTGTTTGCAGTAAAAAAAATCTTTTTTAAATTATGAAATTTTTTGAACTTTTTTGCAGATCCGGGGTCATGAAATTTTTCAAAAATGACCAAGCCCTCATTTTCATTATATTAGCATGAAATGCACCAAAACTACCCGAAACGTTGTTCGGAACGTAAATCAAGCCGCTCTTGGTTGTTTCAGGTAAAGAAAATTTTTTCAAAATTTTCCAATTTTTTCAACTTTTTTGCAGGTCCGGGGTCATGAAATTTTTCAAAAATGACCAAGTCCTCATTTTCATTATATGAGCATAAATGCACCGAAACTACCCGAAACATTTGTTCGGAACGTAGATTTAGACTTTCTTGGTTGTTTGAAGTAAAAAAAATTTTTTTGAAAATTTTCCAATTTTTTGAACTTTTTTGCAGGTCCGGGGTCATGAAATTTTTCAAAAATGACCAAGTCCTCCTTTTCATTTTATGAGCATAAAATGCCCCGAAACTACCCGAAACATTGTTAGGAACGTAGATTTAGACATTCTTGGTTGTTTGAAGTAAAAAAATTTTTTTGAAAATTTTCCAATTTTTTGAACTTTTTTGCAGGTCCCGGGTCATGAAATTTTTCAAAAATGAGCAAGTCCTCCTTTTCATTTTATGAGCATGAAATGCACCGAAACTACCCGAAACATTGTTCGGAACGTAGATTTAGACTTTCTTGGTTGTTTGAAGTAAAAAAAATTTTTTGAAAATTTTCCAATTTTTTGAACTTTTTTGCAGGTCCGGGGTCATGAAATTTTTCAAAAATGACCAAGTCCTCATTTTCATTATATGAGCATGAAATGCACCAAAACTACCCGAAACGTTGTTCGGAACGTAAATCAAGCCGCTCTTGGTTGTTTCAGGTAAAAAAATTTTTTGAAAATTTTCCAATTTTTTCAACTTTTTTGCAGGTCCGATCTCATGAAATTTTTCAAAAATGACCAAGTCCTCCTTTTCATTTTATGAGCATGAAATGCACCGAAACTACCCGAAACATTGTTCGGAACGTAGATTCAGACTTTCTTGGTTGTTTGAAGTAAAAAATTTTTTTTGAAAATTTTCCAATTTTTTGAACTTTTTTGCAGGTCCGGGGTCATGAAATTTTTCAAAAATGACCAAGTCCTCATCTCCTCCTGACCAAGTCGAAACTACCCGAAACATTGTTCGGCACGTAGATTTAGACTTTCTTGGTTGTTTAAAGTAAAAAAAAATATTTTTAAATTTTCAAATTTTTTGAACTTTTTTGCAGATCCGGGGTCATGAAATTTTTCAAAAATGACCAAGCCCTCATTTTCATTATATTAGCATGAAATGCACCAAAACTACCCGAAACGTTGTTCGGAACGTAAATCAAGCCGCTCTTGGTTGTTTCAGGTAAAGAAAATTTTTTCAAAATTTTCCAATTTTTTCAACTTTTTTGCAGGTCCGGGGTCATGAAATTTTTCAAAAATGACCAAGTCCTCATTTTCATTATTTGAGCATGAAATGCACCGAAACTACCCGAAACATTGTTCGGAACGTAGATTCAGACTTTCTTGGTTGTTTGAAGTAAAAAATTTTTTTTGAAAATTTTCCAATTTTTTGAACTTTTTTGCAGGTCCGGGGTCATGAAATTTTTCAAAAATGACCAAGTCCTCATCTCCTCCTGACCAAGTCGAAACTACCCGAAACATTGTTCGGCACGTAGATTTAGACTTTCTTGGTTGTTTAAAGTAAAAAAAATTTTTTTTAAATTTTCAAATTTTTTGAACTTTTTTGCAGATCCGGGGTCATGAAATTTTTCAAAAATGACCAAGCCCTCATTTTCATTATATTAGCATGAAATGCACCAAAACTACCCGAAACGTTGTTCGGAACGTAAATCAAGCCGCTCTTGGTTGTTTCAGGTAAAGAAAATTTTTTCAAAATTTTCCAATTTTTTCAACTTTTTTGCAGGTCCGGGGTCATGAAATTTTTCAAAAATGACCAAGTCCTCATTTTCATTATATGAGCATGAAATGCACCGAAACTACCCGAAACATTGTTCGGAACGTAAATCAAGCCGTTCTTGGTTGTTTCAAGGTAAAAAATTTTTTTTGAAAATTTTCCAATTTTTTGAACTTTTTTGCAGGTCCGGGGTCATGAAATTTTTCAAAAATGACCAAGTCCTCATTTTCATTATATGAGCATGAAATGCACCAAAACTACCCGAAACATTGTTCGGAACGTAGATTTAGACTTTCTTGGTTGTTTGAAGTAAAAAAATTTTTTTGAAAATTTTCCAATTTTTTGAACTTTTTTGCAGGTCCGGGGTCATGAAATTTTTCAAAAATGACCAAGTCCTCCTTTTCATTATATGAGCATGAAATGCACCGAAACTACCCGAAACATTGTTCGGAACGTAGATTTAGACTTTCTTGGTTGTTTGAAGCTAAACAATTTTTTTGAAAATTTTCCAATTTTTTGAACTTTTTTGCAGGTCCGGGGTCATGAAATTTTTCAAAAATGGCCAAGTCCTCATTTTCATTATATGAGCATGAAATGCACCGAAACTACCCGAAACATTGTTCGGAACGTAAATCAAGCCGTTCTTGGTTGTTTCAAGGAAAAAATTTTTTTTGGAAAATTTCAAATTTTTTAACTTTTTTGCAGGTCCGGGGTCATGAAATTTTTCAAAAATGACCAAGTCCTCATTTTCATTATATGAGCATGAAATGCACCAAAACTACCCGAAACGTTGTTCGGAACGTAAATCAAGCCGCTCTTGGTTGTTTGAAGTAAAAAAAATTTTTGAAAATTTTCCAATTTTTTGAACTTTTTTGCAGGTCCGGGGTCATGAAATTTTTCAAAAATGACCAAGTCCTCATTTTCATTTTATGAGCATGAAATGCACCGAAACTACCCGAAACATTGTTCGGAACGTAGATTTAGACTTTCTTGGTTGTTTGAAGTAAAAAAAATTTTTTGAAAATTTTCCAATTTTTTGAACTTTTTTGCAGGTCCGGGGTCATGAAATTTTTCAAAAATGACCAAGTCCTCATTTTCATTATATGAGCATGAAATGCACCAAAACTACCCGAAACGTTGTTCGGAACGTAAATCAAGCCGCTCTTGGTTGATTTCAGGTAAAGAAAATTTTTTGAAAATTTTCCAATTTTTTGAACTTTTTTGCAGGTCCGGGGTCATGAAATTTTTCAAAAATGACCAAATCCTCATTTTCATTATATGAGCATGAAATGCACCAAACTACCCGAAACGTTGTTCGGAACGTAGATTTAGACTTTCTTGGTTGTTTGAAGTAAAAAAAATTTTTTGAAAATTTTCCAATTTTTTGAACTTTTTTGCAGGTCCGGGGTCATGAAATTTTTCAAAAATGACCAAGTCCTCCTTTTCATTTTATGAGCATGAAATGCACCGAAACTACCCGAAACATTGTTCGGAACGTAGATTTAGACTTTCTTGGTTGTTTGAAGTAAAAAAAATTTTTTTGAAAATTTTCCAATTTTTTGAACTTTTTTGCAGGTCCGGGGTCATGAAATTTTTCAAAAATGACCAAGTCCTCCTTTTCATTTTATGAGCATGAAATGCACCAAACTACCCGAAACATTGTTCGGAACGTAGATTCAGACTTTCTTGGTTGTTTGAAGTAAAAAAATTTTTTTGAAAATTTTCCAATTTTTTGAACTTTTTTGCAGGTCCGGGGTCATGAAATTTTTCAAAAATGACCAAGTCCTCATTTTCATTATATGAGCATGAAATGCACCAAAACTACCCGAAACGTTGTTCGGAACGTAAATCAAGCCGCTCTTGGTTGTTTCAGGTAAAAAAATTTTTTGAAAATTTTCCAATTTTTTCAACTTTTTTGCAGGTCCGGGGTCATGAAATTTTTCAAAAATGACCAAGTCCTCATTTTCATTATATGAGCATGAAATGCACCGAAACTACCCGAAACATTGTTCGGAACGTAGATTTAGACTTTCTTGGTTGTTTGAAGTAAAAAAATTTTTTTGAAAATTTTCCAATTTTTTGAACTTTTTTGCAGGTCCGGGGTCATGAAATTTTTCAAAAATGACCAAGCCTCATTTTCATTATATGAGCATGAAATGCACCAAAACTACCCGAAACGTTGTTCGGAACGTAAATCAAGCCGCTCTTGGTTGTTTCAGGTAAAGAAAATTTTTTGAAAATTTTCCAATTTTTTCAACTTTTTTGCAGGTCCGGGGTCATGAAATTTTTCAAAAATGACCAAGTCCTCATTTTCATTATATGAGCATGAAATGCACCGAAACTACCCGAAACATTGTTCGGCACGTAGATTTAGACTTTCTTGGTTGTTTGAAGTAAAAAAATTTTTTGAAAATTTTCCAATTTTTTGAACTTTTTTGCAGGTCCGGGGTCATGAAATTTTTCAAAATGACCAAGTCCTCCTTTTCATTTTATGAGCATGAAATGCACCGAAACTACCCGAAACATTGTTCGGAACGTAGATTTAGACATTCTTGGTTGTTTGAAGTAAAAAAATTTTTTGAAAATTTTCCAATTTTTTGAACTTTTTTGCAGGTCCGGGGTCATGAAATTTTTCAAAAATGACCAAATCCTCATTTTCATTATATGAGCTTGAAATGCACCAAAACTACCCGAAACGTTTTTCGGAACGTAGATTTAGACTTTCTTGGTTGTTTGAAGTAAAAAAATTTTTTGAAAATTTTCCAATTTTTTGAACTTTTTTGCAGGTCCGGGGTCATGAAATTTTTCAAAAATGACCAAATCCTCATTTTCATTATATGAGCTTGAAATGCACCAAAACTACCCGAAACGTTTTTCAGAACGTAAATCAAGCCGCTCTTTGTTGTTTCAGGTAAAGAAAATTTTTTGAAAATTTTCCAATTTTTTGAACTTTTTTGCAGGTCCGGGGTCATGAAATTTTTCAAAAATGACCAAGTCCTCCTTTTCATTCTATGAGCATGAAATGCACCGAAACTACCCGAAACATTGTTCGGAACGTAAATCAAGCCGTTCTTGGTTTTTTCAGGTAACGAAAATTTTTTGAAAATTTTCCAATTTTTTCAACTTTTTTGCAGGTCCGGGGTCATGAAATTTTTCAAAAATGACCAAGTCCTCATTTTCATTATATGAGCATGAAATGCACCAAAACTACCCGAAACGTTGTTCGGAACGTAAATCAAGCCGCTCTTGGTTGTTTCAGGTAAAAAAAAATTTTTTGAAAATTTTCCAATTATTTCAACTTTTTTGCAGGTCCGGGGTCATGAAATTTTTCAAAAATGACCAAGTCCTCCTTTTCATTTTATGAGCATGAAATGCACCAAAACTACCCGAAACATTGTTCGGAACGTAAATCAAGCCGCTCTTGGTTGTTTGAAGTAAAAAAAAATTTTTTGAAAATTTTCCAATTTTTTGAACTTTTTTGCAGGTCCGGGATCATGAAATTTTTCAAAAATGACCAAGTCCTCCTTTTCATTTTATGAGCATGAAATGCACCGAAACTACCCGAAACATTGTTCGGCACGTAGATTTAGACTTTCTTGGTTGTTTGAAGTAAAAAAAAATTTTTTGAAAATTTTCCAATTTTTTGAACTTTTTGCAGGTCCGGGGTCATGAAATTTTTCAAAAATGACCAAGTCCTCATTTTCATTATATGAGCATGAAATGCACCAAAACTACCCGAAACGTTGTTCGGAACGTAAATCAAGCCGCTCTTTGTTGTTTCAGGTAAAGAATATTTTTTATTCTTGGTTGTTTGAAGCTAAAAAATTTTTTTGAACATTTTCCAATTTTTTGAACTTTTTTGCAGGTCCGGGGTCATGAAATTTTTCAAAAATGACCAAGTCCTCATTTTCATTATATGAGCATGAAATGCTCCGAACATTCCCGAAACATTGTTCGGAACGTAGATTTTGACTTTCTTGGCTGTTTGAAGTAAAAAAAATATTTTGAAAATTTTCCAATTTTTTGAACTTTTTTGCAGGTCCAGGGTCATGAAATTTTTCAAAAATGACCAAGTCCTCATTTTCATTATATGAGCATGAAATGTACCGAAACTACCCGAAACATTTTTCCGAACGTACATTTTGACTTTCTTGGTTGTTTGAAGTAAAAAAATTTTTTTGAAAATTTTCCAATTTTTTGAACTTTTTTGCAGGTCCGGGGTCATGAAATTTTTCAAAAATGACCAAGTCCTCATTTTCATTATATGAGCATGAAATGCACCGAAACTACCCGAAACATTGTTCGGAACGTAGATTTAGACTTTCTTGGTTGTTTGAAGCTAAAAAAATTTTTTGAAAATTTTCCAATTTTTTGAACTTTTTTGCATGTCCGGGGTCATGAAATTTTTCAAAAATGACCAAGTCCTCATTTTCATTATATGAGCATGAAATGCACCCAAACTACCCGAAACATTGTTCGGAACGTAGATTTAGACTTTCTTGGTTGTTTGAAGTAAAAAAAAATTGTTTGAAAATTTTCCAATTTTTTGAACTTTTTTGCAGGTCCGGGGTCATGAAATTTTTCAAAAATGACCAAGTCTTCATTTTCATTATATGAGCATGAAATGCACCCAAACTACCCGAAACATTGTTCGGAACGTAGATTTAGACTTTCTTGGTTGTTTGAAGTAAAAAAAAATTGTTTGAAAATTTTCCAATTTTTTGAACTTTTTTGCATGTCCGGGGTCATGAAATTTTTCAAAAATGACCAAGTCCTCATTTTCATTATATGAGCATGAAATGCACCAAAACTACCCAAAACATTGTTCGGAACGTAGATTTAGACTTTCTTGGCTGTTTGAAGTAACAAAAATTTTTTGAAAATTTTCCAATTTTTTGAACTTTTTTGCATGTCCGGGGTCATGAAATTTTTCAAAAATGACCAAGTCCTCATTTTCATTATATGAGCATGAAATGCACCGAAGCTTCCCGAAACATTGTTCCGAACGTACATTTTGACTTTCTTGGTTGTTTGAAGTAAAAAAAATTTTTTGAAATTTTTCCAATTTTCGAACTTTTTTTCAGGTCCGGGGTCATGAAATTTTTCAAAAATGACCAAGTCCTCATTTCCATTATATGAGCATGAAATGCACCGAACATTCCCGAAAAATTGTTCGGAACGTAGATTTTGACTTTCTTGGCTGTTTGAAGTAAAAAAAATTTTTTGAAAATTTTCTAATTTTTTGAACTTTTTTGCAGGTCCAGGGTCATGAAATTTTTCAAAAATGACTAACTCCTTAGATTCAAAATACAAGTCTAAAATTCATTGAAACTACCTGCAGTGGTATTCTCAACGTAAATTAAGACTTTCTTGGTTATTTTGAGTAAAAAACATTTTTGAGAACATTCATAATTTTTTCAGGCTTTCTGAAGCTGTAGTCTGAAGCATTGTATATATATTATTTCTTACTTTTCTTCAGAGATCTCTTGGAGGCTCAACCAAATGTCAACAAAACCTTTCAGAAAGGTATTTTCTTAGCTTCTTCTGTTGTTTATAGTAAAAATATTTTTTTGAAAAATTTCCAATTTTTTGAACTTTTTTGCAGGTCTGGGGTCATGAAATTTTTTAAAAATTATTTATTCCTCATTTCCATTATATGAGCATGAAATGCACCGAAACTACCCGAAACAATGTTCGGAACGTAGATTTAGACTTTCTTGGTTGTTTGAAGTAAAAAAAAAAATTTTGAAAATTTTCCAACTTTTTGAACTTTTTTGCAGGTCCGGGGTCATGAAATTTTTCAAAAATGACCAAGTCCTCATTTTCATTATATGGGCCTGAAATACACCGAGACTACTCGAATTTAGTGTGACTCAGTTGCAGATTCAGACAGGGTTTCAAGGGTTCTGGAACCCTGTCAAATTTTCCTAAGACGCATAACACCAGTTTTCCCTCCTCGAACAAATGGCAATGAGTCCCAACGAAGTTGGGCTCTTGTACCGCAACCTTTGCCGCTCTCTAAATTTGGTATTGTGAAAGAAAGGAATCGTGCCGTAGCCATGGTACTCTTTTGTAACATATTGTATTTTCTAAGAAAGGATCTGTTTTGTAGCCATGACACTCGAATGTCTTCGATTGTTTTTGCCACAAACAAAAGAACCCTCTTTGGACCCACCTGACAAACTCATTGGAACATATTTATAATGTTGACCATGATTTGCAAAGTTTATAAAACTCTTGAAGACGCATAGACAATATATTTATCTATATAGTAAGAACTTTATCAAGATAAAATAAAAAACTTAATATAAGATGATTTCATATGTCATAATTTGCACTTTTTGATTATTGGGCTTGTTTGCTATATATATGACGAGAGGCTTTGTCCATCGTTATCCATTTTTGACAATCTTGGTGAATATTTGCAAATTTGTCTTGTTCGTTTATTATTTGGTAATATTTATTGCATGAATTTCACTCAAATCTTGCAACACTTATTAAGCTTATGTCCTGCTGTAACCAGCTAAAGAAATTTATTAAGGTCCTCTGTTTGACAAGGAATCTAAATCTTTGATATAGAATTCATGATGACAATTCTTGCGGTGTTTTACAGAATTATTTTTTTTACTCACCTTGAAATTATGATGAAATAATATATTATCTTATTAAAACTAATTCTTGCAATTGTGAAGCAAAAATGGGCGTCGCCCAATTTTGGACGAAAGTTTGGGCATTGCCAGAAAGATATAGGACCACGCCCCTTTAGGAACCCACTTAAATTTTTGTCTCGATCCGCCACTTAGTGTGACTATAAGCAGAGTTAACTGCGCAGTTATTTTTTTGCCATTTGTAAAGGTAAAGAAACAATTGAATTAACACATACCATGGCTAGTAGCTCCTGCTTAGTAGACCTATAGGGCCTATTCATTTCAGGAAATTATAAAGTTTCAAAGAAAATTCAAATTGAGACACTAAAAATGCTAGTTATTAATTGTCTTGGAATGAAGAAATTGAGAAATTCATGCTGGCTTATACATTATTGTGAGTTTTGATGCCTTTTATTTTTGTTCCAGACCCCTAACTTCAAAGTAGAGGGTCTGTGTAATCGAGAGCAATTTCGCGTACGAGCTTTTCCCAGGATCTCTGGGAAAATAAATTATGCAAAAAATTATGCGGCATTCACATGACAAAAGTGAACAACAGCGTGAACAGAGCTTAGTTTGCCGGGGCAGTTTACACATTCATATAGCGAAAAGAAATGTGTGAAAATTCAAAGTTTCTTTTATTTTGTCAGACAATGCCACAATAATGCCTGAAAGCCTTGAATATATCACGAGGCTTAGATAATTGTCGCCCGGCGAGAGAATGGAAACTCTTCAAAAACCTGAGGATGAATTTTGATCAAAACACACGCTTGTTGTTGATAATTCTCCTCTTATGTGTTAACGAACGTTAGAAAATCATTTTCAAACATCAGAATTTCACATTTCAAACAACAAACTTAGAAGACGTGTTTATAGCAAAGCAATCACTATCATGACGAAAAGAATTGATGAAAAGTACAGGGCATAGGCCTAAGCCTACTGCCTCTTATTGCTAAAAAAATTGGTCCACTCAGTTAGGCAGCCTCATCCGGATCAATGATAAATGTTTACTAGTCTTTAGCAATTTCTACTGTCTGTAAACTTGCGTTTATAACCAACCAGATATCATTTTCTACGGCTTAAGCCAAAGCGTCTTGTTTACTTTTCGGTTTCCATTCCTTATCACTACTCCGAAAGTCATGTTTTCTGTTATCGTAGCCACCAGACCTTGTCCCAAAAAATCTTTCTTTACATTAAATTCAAGCCAAACTAGTAAATGAACATCCTCGTCTACTCAAAGCAAATCGATTGGTTGCCAAGTCAATTTTACTTCGATTGCTGCATGCGGTAGATTCAATCCCCATCAACTGCTGTAAAATCAGTTCAGTTCAGTTCAGTTCAGTTTTTTCATTTTTTTTAAATTCCACTACATACAATTTATCAATAACAAGTCAATCATACATCTAAAATACAAGAAATTAATACAATATACCAATACAAAACATAGACACAAGATAGATTGTATGGAGGGAATTACTTACAGGAGGAGCTCTCTCAGTAGTTAGACTAATCGAGGAGAGAACACCCCCTATTATAAAAGTATCTCATATAAAATTGATTTCTTTAATTGACATTATGATGTTGACAAAACTACTTGATGGGCAGATGGTGACATTTTTGAAATCCACTAGCAAGATTGGCCCACAACCTCTTTAATCTGTTTTGGTCAGAACCAATGAAGTGTCCCAACGAAGATCTTCAACATCAAATAGCAGAGCAGCATTTTCTTCTGCTATAAAACTTTTCTTCTAACAAACAAATCTACATCATACTGCCACGACCGATCAAAATATTAGCGCCTCTTCTTGCATGATTACACAAATCTGTGATAATTATGCAAACAATTCAATTCAATCCTCGTACGCGAATTTGCTCTCGGTTACACAGACCCTCTACTTTCAAGTTAGGGGTCTGGAGCACAGGCTATTTATTTTATGAGTTCCAAACATGACTTCTTCATAACAGAGGCTACGTGTGACAACATCCACTTTGAAAAGTGTTGTTGAATTTTCAAAACGATTCTCAAACTCAAGCAAGAAAATGCGAAACTTCCCCCGCACACACGCAAAACAAAAACATTTCAAGCTCACATTGAAAACAAAAACACTCATAAACAACAATGCACAATTATCCCTAAGGACCCACAACAAACAATGTCAACAAAAACAACGAGCAACAGCACAAAACTCACTAACGGGAATAAAACAACAGGCTGACTCTCCATGCACACAACAAAAAGTTCACAGATTTTCAGAAGCTTTAACAATCAACAAATTTTATTTGAAAATTTATTTCTATACGTTATAAATTTAGTACAAGGGAGATTTGAAATATTTCAACTCACATAGGTATCTTAAAATATGAAATCAATTTTTCTTTTGTTTCGACATAATATTTTGGCCTCCATTATTTCTAGCATTATATTTATAAATGTTAAAAAATGGAAGAAGACTACAAGTTAAAACTATTGGAACCAGGTCACAATACACTCTATTGAAGGTTGGTATCATATTAGCTTTGTTTGTGAAAGTATTTCATGTCAGGAATGTAGGTAAAATTATTTTTAACCAGAATTATAAAGTTGTATTGTATTTGTTTCTACCTAGCACCCGAAAGTAGTTTTGGGACACTGAGAAGCTTATGCTTATTGAGCAGTGTGCTGGTCCTTCCTCTCGATGTGACCACATCTTGTGATTCCTACGCCTGGAATTAGAGAGAGCTGGCGACTCTCCTCACTCTGGGTGAAAGTTTGGTCATACCGAGACTTGAACCACGGACCCTTGGGACTATAGTCAGCGCCTCTAACAACTGAGCCATCCTCGCACCTACAAAGTAATTGAAAACAATGGAGGTTAAAAGTGCTGTATGTTTCCTGAAGAAATGATTCAAACCTAATATCTTGTCAGCTAGGCTCAACCACTTGATATTGATTGGTGGGGCAAAACTCTGGTTTTTATTCTGAATGAAGGGTGCCAGGCCAACAATATATAGATTTGGAGGGATGCCATAGTTTCTGCTACTGATTGTAGGGTACATATTAAAATCTTTTACAGGATGCTGGTTTTTCTTTTATTAATTTGTTTTTCATTGTTTCACTTTAAAGCACATTCATTTTATCTGTTTTTTTAAATGATGTTGTTTCAATTCTTTAACCAGTATATGATAATTCAACTCTTTTATTACTTTTTAATATGCTTTGTAAATACCGTCAAAGCTCTATTAAGCTTCCCCCTTATTTACTTATTTTCGGTTTTTATTCCTAGAGAGGGGTCTTAAAAGAAAGAAGGGCGTATTAGAAAGGGGCAGGCAATATTCTAAGGTATTTTCATCACTGCACAAATGCATAAATTGTGCAATTCAAAACAATGTCGCATGAGTGCGGGTCCCGTGGGTGCGGTTTGCAGATTGGGTTGTTCAGCAACAAACTAATACCCCAAATTTAAGGGCAGATTTCACATCCCCAAGACCATCTATGTACCCATTCCCTTCTTGAAGGTCTTTAATGGTCGACCCCCATTTTTTTCAAAATTCATTAGCTATAAGAAAGTGAACTTGGACTGATCATCATAGCACCATCGAAAGAGAGAGGGATGGGTGGTGGTATACTAGAGGCTTCAGTACTGAAAGATACTACATAGTTGAGTTGCTGAGATTCACTTAAATGAAGATAAAAAAGACAGGCTCGTGCTCATTACGATAAAAATGATTGCGCCAACTCGTTATTGTCTACTAAATATATGATGTCATAAATTTGGTTCATGATATATTGAAATAAACCAGCGAAAGAAGGCACAAGCAAAAGCAAATCTATTAAAACAGATATCCCAAGAAAAATCGATTGGAACATTTTTATGACTCAACCAAATGCTCCTTTAATAAACTGTTAGCGAGAAACCCTTTTCTTGGTGTATTTGGAGAATTTGTCAGCTTTGAGCTATCACTGAACTGTAGAATGATTTAAAAGGTGCTCGTGCATCAGTTGCTCCCGATTTGACTTGCGGGAGGTTGAGAGCAATGCGAAGATATCAAAGATAGTGATCTATGGAAAGGTCAACATTTATCCTTAGAAAAATATGAAACATCAAGATGATTAAAAAAACACAAAGATGTCACCAATGTTAAATCAAGAATTTTGAAATTCAGCAAACTGCAAAAAATTACTTTCAGCACACAACAGACCTAAAACTAGTTCAAGAAGCCGTCTTATTCGCAAGAAAATACTTTGGTATATATCAACATCAACTAGGTTTTAGAAGTTACAATATTTTGACTTTATGTATTTTATTTAGTTGGTGGTTGTTTTATACATTTTGATTACTAATTAAATTGTTTTGAATATTTCATCACTGTACGAATTCAGATTCATTGCTGCTTATTTTCCTTTCATCACTGCACAAATTGGTCATCACTGCATCTTATAATTTCAAAGCGCCTATGCCTGGAGACGGGGAAATTTTTAATAATTCAATGTAAAAAATGCTATAAAACAGCCCTTATGCATTATTTTTAAAAAAAAGTTCGTACAAATGTTCTCAAAAATTTCGCTAGCTGCTCCGAAGGTTTCTTAGAATCAATCAATTGTAATAACCTAATCTTCCACAGAGTCAGCAGGATGAATTGATATCTCCTTGGACATCTTCTAAACGAATTTCGGTGGCTTTCCTTTTGACTGGCTTTTAGGTGTAAAATTTTCGTGTATTGATTAGCTTTTACTGATGGTAATGAATTATCATCGCTTTGAAACATGTCTGATTTTTCATGGTATGTTTTGGAAAATTTTTGATGACATAAAATGATTTTTATCACTTTTTATGCAATGTATTGCTCAATTTAATCAACTTAACTTTTGCTCGCTTTTATTGCTCAAAGTTATGTGGTCTGTATGCTGATTAATAAATAAATGTTGCACTATACATATAGTTGGTAATACCTTTAGTATTGATAATGGATTACAATGAGGCAGTTAAAAACACAATAATGCGGCTAATTAATTCCAGACACTGGAAGCCATTCTCAAGCTTACAACGTGAGAATTTTACATCAGTACAAAACACAATATTCGATCTATGTTATGTAGTGAAAGAGTATCTTCTGGAAGAAGTGAAGGAACCTTGCCTTTTTGAACTTAGCAATGTCTGAGCAGTCATTTTAAAAGGCCATCTTGTATTATTGTAAAGTGTATTTATTAATCAGACTGATAATAATAATTATGGCGACAAGAAAAGACATTGCAAAAGTAATTTTCTTCAATTGACTCTAATCCATTGACAGCCCAGTATTTGACAAGATCAATGAAATGATTGCTATGTTTATTACTATTTTCTAAGACTGCTTGCATTAATCATATACGCCACCGACTCTCAGCAACCAGTTAACCCCCCCCCCTTTCTCCCCGTCTTTCTTCTCTGTTCAGCTTAACAGAACTTGTCTCCAAAACCGCACAAAGAGACAGCCGTTAGTACTGATTACTTTATGGGGTTGTTATACTATTTCAACTTAACTTTGTTGCAGAACATCCTTTCTCATTCAACCAAAATATCCGACGAAAGAGCTCACCTTTAGCAAAAGAAGAGAGACGGAAAATGCAGGATGTGCCTTTGGACAACAGACCTTTTGTACACATAATTTAAACATGGTAAGTGAAATGAAGATGAATATTTCATTATTGTTTGGAAGCTTAAAAATCCTTTTAGCTATAAAGGTAGCTTAATGTTAGTTCTAGATGGTTGTTGATAAAATTTTACGTATTATAAAATGAAGGTTGTTTTAATCGTGGAAAGATTCTAAGATAAGAATTGCTGGACCTCTGTTACCTAGGGTAATAGGGCCTAGTTTTGCAGTTCTAGTCGCTGCTATGATCTATTCGGCGATAATGCAAAAACGGCTGCAAAAATGTTCTTTTTGCAAAACTATTAATACCAAAGACAATTTTCCATCAAATATTCTTGCAAATTCTTCTTTTTACCTGAATGTCATATTCCAAATCTCCTTCACAAAACACAAACAAACAGCATAAATATTTGGTAATGGTGATACCTGAAGTTCTTTTTGAAACTTGCATTGCCTTACCTTCTGTAACAAAGTCCGTCCCAGTGATATTCAATCCTTCTTTGGAAACTAGGAGATTCCCTGATTCTTGGAACTGCAAGATCTGCCCAAAGAACTGCAAGAGATGTTCACCTAATCTGATTACTGACCAATATATCTGCTGTCTGCTGTTCAAGGTTGTTTCGAGTAGACCGTCAGGCTTTAGATCTTTGTTTTCCATATAGTCAAGTCTGCCAAAAACAACTGATAAATGGTACGATAGTATCGAAAATGACTGTACGATACACCCAATCGTGAGCTTTTATTCCAATAACAAGGAGATTATGCAGTTGCAGAAAGTAATTTCTCTTGGTTTCTCTCTTACCTCTCTAACTGGAAACAGTATAGTAAGATTTACGGTACAGCCTCTAAAACTCTTAAATTAGACGTTGGTGTTCCACAATGCTCGTGTCTAGAGCCCCTCTTTTTCTTTGTTTTAATCCTACCTGTCTAAGATAAACGCGATAAACGGTATTTTACGGTTTACGGTACAGTCCCTCAAAATTGAGGATGGGGTTTTACAAGGTTCTTGTCGCGGACCTCTGCTTTCTTGGTCTTTATCCCTTCGACAGAATTATCTGAGGACACTTGACACCTGCATCGTTGAACCCCACCTCCGCCACTGCTGTGGCATAACTGAAATCTAAAAACTTCAGAAGCTTCAAAACAGAGCTGGTAGGATCATAACTATTTAATTTGTTTTATGCTATTTTATATTTGCTTTTCTGCTATTTAAAGTGCATCGCTATTTGTAAAACAAGCATCGCTGAATCCTTTTGATTTGTTCCAAATACATTTTGAGAAAACTCAAAACCCTCAGTTTAAAATTGGGCCATTTTTAATGGCTACAAAACTTGCAAGAGAGTCTGCATTAGATAATTGGAACAGGTTAATGCTTACTGAAGTAAGTCTCTATGTAAAGGTCATCCAGTACTAAGTTTGGTCCAAAAACTAAATTTGGTTTGAACAAGTTTGAACAATTTAAAAAGTCAAGGCCATTTGCAGAGGTAAAGTTTTTTAATGTTGTCTTTAGAATGGCAAATATTAAACTGAATCATCGTCTACTTCTATAAGCAAATGGAAAAATCTGATTGCTAAGTTAATGTAACTGAAAATTCAGATTATTCCCTCTCTTTTTTCAACCAACACTGCCTAGAATTCTTTCTTGGAAAGCTTTATTGCCTCTTGATGTAAAAGCATTTCGTTAAGTAATCAATGGTTTTTAACCATTGCCATTGAATTCTGATGTAGCTGTAATCATGAAAATTGCTTATTGTCTTTAGAAATACAACATAACAAATCATTCAGCATATCGATCTTTTCGTGACTATTTTGAAAGATGTATTAGAAATATAGGGGGAAATTTATATATTTGGTTGGTTCTGTTGACAGATACTCGCGGTAAAAAATCGATGGAAAGGTATTAACCCTCTTCATGTCCTTCACATGCGAGACGATTTGAATAGCAAAATTTCTCAAATCATTTGCAACCATCTAGATGGATTTTTTGTATGATTGTCCTTATTATTATCTTTGTAGAAATATTCAGATGTTCATAAACTTTTTTAAAAAGTTTCCTGTAGATTTCCAATTCAAAAAAATAATTACAACTGAAAATAATTAATGGGTTCACTATCCAGGTAAAGATGTGCAAAAAAGCCGCTACTGTGTAAACAAATGGAGTTCGTTTTCACTTCACTCCATTGGTAACATTCTCAATAGGCAAGCGGCACTGATTGGTCAACCTCAACAGTCACGTGCTCGTGTTTCTGATTGGCCTATTTCGATCCACAACTGGGTATATATATTTCCTAGCGTAGAGTTTTCGGTCTATGTTCTGACGTTTTAAACTCTGAAGAGTGTCAGACGAAAAGCTTTAGTTTACTAAATGTTTGCTTTTTTCAAAGCCATTTACAAGTTTTGTACCACCGAAAGATTGTTAACTCTATCTGTCTACACAATGGCGGCTTTTTCGTTTGTATGTAAAATATAGGCCCCTGTAATATTTGACATATTGGAATGTAAAATGGGAAAACTTCAGGCTTTATTGTCTATTTGCAACCGATGTGAGATTTCCTTTTTTGATACGATACAAAAACGGCCAGCGATGGGCCATGTCACAAATAACATAATATTTAAGTCGGCCATGCTACATGACGTTAAATGAGGTTCTTTCTGGGAGAATGCTAGTTAAATGATATTATGTTTAATTTCTGAACCCGATAGAAAGTCAAAACAACTTGGCTTTTATATATTTATTTGCTTATTATTTCCAAGCGCATCATTTTCAATAGAACAAAACTATAGCAATAGGTCTATTGTAGCAAGACTTGCCAAAGTTATGTCAAAAATTAAGTATGTTTTGCTAAGCTTATCTTTGTTTATTTTCTTATTGAGAACAGAATGTATGTCCATTAAGTTTTCAATTATGTGAATTAATTATATTACTCTTTAGACAGTAAACATTTGTTGATAAAACAATTAGGGATTAAACATTTATTGAACTGATTCTTCTAAGCAAAATAAAATTAACAATGCTCAAATTTTAATTTTGTTTTTATTTTTTCGTTAGTTTCCTTTAATCTCTAAGAAGTCTAGGAAAGAGTTTTGTAAAGAACACATAAAATGTGTTTCGCAAAAATTTTATGTGAATATTCTCAGAGCCTGGATAGCTGAATAGGAAGATGGTTTTTGATTTTAGAAGAAAACCATTATGCGTCAGCCTCTTTTGTTGAGCCCTGGTTACATTTCTTTGTTTATTTAAAGTTAGGAGATTGATTATTCTCAAAAATTTCCTCATATGTACAATGCAACTCCGGTCTACCAACGTTCTTCCAGCCTTGTACCACTGTTCTACCAATGTTCTTCCAGCCTTCTACGAATGTTCCTCCAATGTTCTCCCAGCCTTGTACCAATGTTCTACCAATGTTCTTCCAGCCTTCTACGGATGTTCTACCAGCGTTCTTCCAGCCTTCTACAGATGTTCTACCAGCGTTCTTCCAGCCTTCCACCTATGTTCTAGCAATGTTCTTCCAATGTTCTTCCAGCCTTCTACCAATGTTCTACCAATGTTCTACCAGCGTTCTTTCAGCCTTCTACGGATGTTCTACCAGCGTTCTTCCAGTCTTCCACCAATGTTCTAGCAATGTTCCTCCAATGTTCTTCCAGCCTTCTACCAATGTTCTACCAATGCTCTACCAGCGTTCTTCCAGCCTTCTACGGATGTTCTACCAGCGTTCTTCCAGCCTTCCACCAATGTTCTAGCAATGTTCTTCCAATGTTCTTCCGGCCTTCTACCAATGTTCTACCAATGCTCTACCAGCGTTCTTCCAGCCTTCTATGGATGTTCTACCAGCGTTCTTCCAGCCTTCCACCAATGTTCTTCCAATGTTCTTCCAGCCTTCTACCAATGTTCTTCCAATGTTCTTCCGGCCTTCTACCAATGTTCTACCAATGCTCTACCAGCGTTCTTCCAGCCTTCTATGGATGTTCTACCAGCGTTCTTCCAGCCTTCCACCAATGTTCTTCCAATGTTCTTCCAGCCTTCTACCAATGTTCTACCAATGCTCTACCAGCGTTCTTCCAGCCTTCTACGGATGTTCTACCAGCGTTCTTCCAGCCTTCCACCAATGTTCTAGCAATGTTCTTCCAATTTTCTTCCAGCCTTCTACCAGTGTTTTAGAAAGTTTTTTCCAGCGTTCGTAAAACAGATTTTTATCCCTTGATTTTTAGGCCACCTTATGATATAAATATTGACAAGATGTTAAACGTTATATTAAAGCGGGAGAGCCTTACAATAATGCATTTTCCTCAGACGTTGCTGAAACTGAATTTCTGCTCTGTCTAACCTAAATACCTGTCACACAAAAAGTTTTAAGTTGATTTCCGTCCACAAAGCAATGTCAATTATGTATAAGAACCCAACCATAGTCGTAGTACATCTTTGTCATATTTTTAAAGGCGATCGCATAAGCCATTTTTCAATCAAAATTAGAGCAACAAGCGAGTCTAATTCTACCCATATGCTTATTGACTGGCTATTATCGATTGACAGGTGGATTAAGCCACTTTCATATTTGTCGATTGCTTTTAAGTTAAAAATGCTACTTTTTGAAAAATTATTTTGCAAATGGGGCCTAACCGAAAAGGAGAAGCTTTCCTGCTTTCTGTAGATCCTAGTTCAAAAATCAGAACGAGGTGTAAGTCATGACACTGCTCATTTAGCAAAGCCTCTTAGCGTGCTGAATCCTATCTTGGTGACACAATGAGAACCATCTAGGACCTTTACAATAAAGTCTCAACGATCAAATTACATCGCCACCACGTCGCTCTATGATTCCGCGTCGCCGGCTTTTGACGTTCTTGTACCTAGGGTAGCATTGGGGGAAGCATTCTGAAGGGAGGCGAAGGAACGCAACCCTTTTGATTGGTAGGAACGCAACCCTTTTGAATGGATAGAAGGGCTCTCCTAGTGCTGTAAACAATCCGAGGATTGACAGCAAAGAAACATTTGGTTATGGTTGCCCAATCTGACTCTCAAATCGCAAGGAAGTGTTACCAATCCATGGTAGTTTCAAATAAACTGGGCACTTTTGCGGACCAAACTTTTGAACAGCGGAAAAACTTGCGATCTTCTCCTTAGTATAAGATAAAATGACGTCTTCTGGATAGCCGTTGTCCAGGAAGATCGTTTTGAGATTTCGAGCAGATCATAAGTGCCTTATGTATTGATGTTTTGACAAGGTTGACTTTGCGTTGTTTTGGGTAAAATAAATGTTTGCTTTTTCAAAGCCATTTTCAAAATTAAAGAACCTTAACTATTAAACGCTTATTCTATTTATCTTTTTAATGTCAATTTGCGCATATTCTCTTTCCTTTGTTTATATGTAAAAACCCCATAATATAACAAACTTTACCAACCCCTTGATATATCTACTTCTTGAAAGCAAAAATCTGCTTACTTAGACAGGTATGGTTTTAAACAAAAGGAGGACGATGATGTGGGGATAAAAACCCAATGTGATTGGTTTAATGGCTCAAAGGTATGTAAACGAAATGTAACTAACGGTAAGAGCCCTAAAAATATGGATTAATTTGATGATGAAATTTCATTTTGATGATGAAATTCCTCAAACAATTTATGGAACATTCTCTTGCTAGAAGCTAGCTTTTTATCAAGATGCCTCGAGCGGGTCGAAAAGCTTTGTGTCAATTTCGAAAAATAAACAGTTATTTTTAAATGTCTTAAACTTTCAACTTTGGCTGCTTGCCTCTAGGTCGTTCCCGTTATCACTTGTATTAACTTTGAATCTGAACTTAATGTCATCATCTGGTGTCGGCCAGGCCATTCATTTCCAGCAGATATCAGTGAATGACTGAATGAACGTTGAATCTCATTCAAGCTTACGTAGTGCACGTAATTATGTTGCATAGACCTTGTGTTATGAAGAAGGTCATTTTGACAGTTTTGCTTAATCTGATGTGTATCATTACCTCAGGTAAATGCTGCAGATTAATTGCCAGAATGCAGCTGTAACTATTTTTGTTGCAGGAGACTTGCAGTTACAATTGCAAATCTTGTTAACCAACTTGCGTCAACAAATGTCCGTTGTTTCTGCATTTGAGGTCTCGCTCAATTTGAATTTCACAATAACCGTTAATCGATTGTTTCTTTTCATCCAATTGACATGAAGGTCTCAAGTACTGCAGATGTCAGACTATCGTAGCAGATTTGATTTCAAGCTCATCGTCTTCGCGGTAACATCAATGTTTTGGTAGGCGCGTTTTCATTAATTATTACAACTTTCTTTGTCTATCTTGATACTTTATCGATACCATCAAGTTTATATAACATATTAGATCAATTCAATTACTTAGAAAACTTGTTCCAAGCATTTCTTTTCAAACCACTTTCTCGCCAAACTGCAACTTCTGATTGAGTATTTATTTAAATTTCCTTGGTGTAAATTTCTTCTTCTAAATTTTCGCTAATTCAAATAAACTCTATCAAATTTTATGTCATTTAACCTACAGATTTTACATAATTTATTTATATACTTTTATAAACATATTTTGCTTGTTCTTTACAATTTCGCCAAAACTAGCTGAAGAAAGAATCAATTTTTCCATAAAAATATTAAACTGCACTATTTTGTTGTATAATTCGCACCTTCGATTGCAATTTATGATTTTAAAGATGAATTTAGGTTTATTTCCACTTGCCTAATGAAAGAAAGGTGAATAGATGAAAAGAAAGTCGAATAATCGACTATTAGAGTGCTTTTATAAACATGTTCAGATTTCCAGAAAACCTTTTCGAATAGTTTCTGTGTTTGTATCTGTTAACTTTTTGTTATCCCAAATGCTTTTTTATCCATATGGTTCTTTATCCATTCATATCTTTATTATCCATTCATATCCCAAATGCTGCTGGTTCTTTATCAGCCTTCCAAATTTTCATGTCTCTTTCTCTAACATACAGACTTTCATAAAATGTTTTTTTGAATCAAACTGCATAGTATGATATATCAAGCAACATTTTTAAACAGCATAATTCCAGGAAATCTCATAACAGTTTAGCTCACGAGTAATGCTGTTTTAGCTTGATATGTGTTAGTTGTTGTTTTTCTTTATCTAACGATCATGGCAGTCCCTTTACATGCTTCATCGCATCTTTAACGACCCGGTTTTTCATTCTGTGGGTGTCTCTGGCCTCTTGGGGTTGTTCAATCATATTCCCCGGGCCTGTGATTTCCTTTGCCTTGCATTCCCTCGAGTAACCCTAGTGCATAAAAGGATTACAGATAGGGTGGACCACACCTGTTTGAATGCATGGCACGGTGCCAGCATGTCCTGTCTTCAAAAAAGCGGTTGGAGATTTCAACAGCTCCGTTGGTATATGTCTTTTTTTAACTAACAATACTTAGCTTGATATAAACGATACTTAGCTACTGCTTTAATGATCTTACTAAGCGTAAAACTCGAAGTAGCAACTTAAAACCATCCTGTTCTACACACCAAAGGAGTGTACAGCTCTGTCTATACTGCATCGACCACTTTATGACAGACCGGTAAACAGTTATTCTTCATCTAGTATTGTCATTAAGTTTTGCATGTCGCTTGGCGATTTATTCTATAAAAGAGCTTCTTCTGAGGGAATTATTCATTGATTGTTATGTTCCCCCTTGTTAGCTTTTAAATGATTGGTTGTTTTGTAGTTTTTTGTTTTTATCGTTTTGTTCATTAAGTGTTTATTTTTATGCATGCGATGTAAAATGGATTCCGTACTTGGGTATATTTTTTTGTAAATTGACATGGCACTTGCAATGGGCTCGAAACGTGGTTTTTAAAATTCGCTTGTTTTCCTGGTACAGTTTCAAGGAATATTGTCACATTGCATTGTACAACACGCAAGCTTGTTTATCTATGACACTGAGGCATTGCGATCTAATCTTGCTGAATATATTAATATGATGTGTTTTCTGATATCCGGTGTTGATATCATTTTCGCCTTCGTTTAGATATGTGTCATTTATCAGCTGCACTTTATCCATTCCTGCTTTTTAAACATGCAGAAAAAATGCTTCAATAAAATATATTGAATAAAGTAACAGTTTATTTATTTCGAAACATAACAAAATTATCAAAGTATGATTTGGTTGCACGATTATCAAACTATCTAAACTACACGTGTATCTAAGACATTGATAATATTTACGGACTTCCAGCAATGAGAAGCATCATAAATGAATTTTCATCGATTAAAATTTCAAATTTTACCTTAATCTTTTTGTTTATTTTAGGATCTAAGCTAGTATATTTAATAGACAACCTGCAAATCAGGATTATGCAGAATTTGTACGCCCATCTCTTAGAGAAGTGTTATCCAAAAACGCCTACATCATTCAAGCCGCACTGATAACAAGTCAAAATAGTTTGAAAATGTTCAATAACTGAGCAATCATCAAAATACTGCCGAAATCAATAGAATCTTCTTATCAAGAATTTTTTAAAGTTTGATTAATTTATATGTGAGTGGTTCTAACATAAATTACTCAGCAACGATATAAGGCTTGCAGTATGAGCTATCGAAAGGTGAAAGAAGCAATCACCCCGAAACGCCGGGAAAGTTTTTTAGGGTATGAGAGTGAATTGAGAAAATTGACTAAAAGAGTTGAAAAAAGAGAAATTTCCTTGTTCGCATTCTATAAAATGTTGATAGAAAGAAGTGCTGAATGAAGGATGTCTCTCTTCTTCCACATATTCTCCTTAACATTTCACCAAACCATTTCCAAGAGACGTCTTGGCACACAGGGCTAGCGATAATTATCCCATGCAACTCAAGGCTCTGGATTCCAATTAGGGATTTTTTTATGAAATTTCCATGCAAAATGACTCCTGTCTATAATGGTTGGTCACATTTGCTTTGTGAAGGCCTAGCGTATATCCTACCAGAATTCTTTTTTCTCCCTTTCTGTATCCCCTTTTACCCCCCCCCCCCCCCCCCCCACCCCCCCCCCCCCCCCCTGCTTAGGGTGCATGCAGCACTACGCACATACAAGTACATGCCCCCTTGTTGCTAACTAATACCTCAAGTGGAACTGAAGCATTTTATTACATCTTACTTGTTTTTGGTACGGAAACCCTGTCAGTTAATTCTGTTTACAGCGGGCTCTGAAGTAACTCATGTTTATTTCACCTGGTATTAAATTACTAGAGCTAGTAACAAAAGTTAAAAGCAGAAAAGTTGCATTTCAGTCAAGTTATTCGTTTATTTTCTTAATGATTAACAGTTCTTCCTTAAATATTTGTAAGCGAGGCCTTTCATTTTTAAGCAGCAAGGTACTTCAAACTTCTTCTTGTCTTCACCCCCAGTTGAATTTTGCATTGTTTCCAGCTATAACCACCTCATTGGCTATAAACGACAATGCCTGCCAAATGTCTTGGAACACTAACGTCAGTTTTCAAAGGCAAGTTATCAACGACATTAGAGCCTAGAAAGACCTTTTTTCCTGTGATTTGTAGGATGTTTGTCGTGGAGGAGAGGGAAGTAGAAATTTTTGGGGAAAGAATTGAAGAAAATGAAGCACAGTGCAAACCATTGGATGTTCCAAGTGCTTTTTTTCGTATTCTTCGCCACTTTCTTTTTTGAAAATCTTTCAGTTGCCCCCCCCCCCCATGAGTGCAACCGCCCCTCCCAAAAAGCGGGTAGTAAAACAGTAGTTCAATTATACGACGGAAATTCGGTTATCCTTGTTATTAGAATTTTTACACGACATTGAATTGTGACTTGTGGAAGCAAATACAGATGTCAAATGAAAAAGCATTTATGCTGTGCCACTTATCCTCTCCATACTCTTCCGTTAATCATAGATTTGGGGCTTTGAAGGTTTACCGAACAGCTGAGTTCTTTGATTATTAATAGAATCTTCAATTCTTATGCTTTGATTTCTAAAGCCCTATTCAAATCTAACAAACGTAAACTGATCTTAAATTAAATGCTGAATTTTTTTTAACAAACCTTTTGGAGCATAGTTTTTCCGAGTGAAGTTTTAGATCGCTCACATTTCGATATACAACATATTAAGATTCTATTTAGCCCTCAATACAGCCCTCGATTTTTGTTTAAAACTGTTCAACTTTTGGCTTGTTCTGTTACCTTTTTCTCGCTAAACGCTTTGCTTCTTGCTACCCATGCTCTCGGCTACCTTGTTTGTTGTAAATATTTTGAAGTAAAGTTATGCTTATGATCTTTTTGATGATTTTTTAACTCTTTCGAGTTGTCTAGCCCATACCTGTCGCAATCTGGGTTTTTTCGAACTTTTGGTCAGCTCTTCCTCTACAGATGACTTCTACATCAAGTAATTCTTCAAAGAAGCTCAAAAACATCTTTTCTTTCACGTCCCATACCTTTTTTTGATAAAACAAATGCAACATCAGCGAAATTTTTATCAATTTTTCTTAACTGTTTCAAATTCACTAGTATATGTTGACTTCTGATCATGAGGATGAAAGTCTTCCTATGGCTCAAGCTACCGCCGTGTAGATATTCATTTGTTGTTGTGAATTTTTTGTATCATTATTAACACTTCAAGATCCTGTTTCACTTTAGACAGCTTTCAAACTCTATAAAAACGAACAGGCATCTAACAGTGGACACCACCTTAAGGCAAACACGTTCCACCTACAAGCAAACAATCTCATTCCATAGTTTCTCCTTTAGGGCTCGAGCCTCAATGATATGGACAAGGACAAAATCCTTAACCAAAACAGGGGCTCCGACGAAGGGGGGCTGGGGGCCATGCCCCTTTTTGCAAAACAGTAAACCTGTTTTAAATCTTTCCATCCTGCCTCGGAGCCCATGCAAAAGAGATTCGTTGTGTGGATTTTCTACACATTTTTTCAGCCTCATTCTTAATATATGGACCTTTCTCGCTGTACATTGGCTAGATTGTGCATTGCCATACAATGCCTTCTAAGCTGTTACATTCAAAATTATGCAATTTCTTTCCTCAATCTTCGTTTGAATTATGCATGGCAAGAAACAAGCTGGTTCTTCATGCTCGAATCGAATTAGTAAACAGTAGATTTGCTTAAAGAAAACAAATTGTAACAAGCTGCCTAACAAAGATATCTTCTCTCGTGAAGACTCTCATTAATATGTGAAATATGTCTTTGGAGGCTGAGAAACAGAGAGTTGGATCAAAGCTTACTTGTAGCGAGGATTTTTGAATACTCAATAAACCCACGCTAAGAACACTTACGGCTTTCATCCTTGTTATAAGCCCAGTAATGTCTTATCGGCTTTATCAGATCACAGCTCTAAAACGTTCATAGGGGCAGAAATACTTTGCCATTCTTTTGTTTATTTCCACAGTGGTGTTATGGCCCTGTTTAACATTGCGCTGATGATCCAGGAGATAAACATATCTTAAGACAAGTATTAAAGCCTTATCAGCAACTTTGCATGTAACTTATTCTGTTTTGAAACGATTTTCAAATTCAAGTTGCTGGAAATGTCATCTACCCTCATTGGTAAAGTCTGAAAACTCTCTGATATTTTCAAATATACGTCGAGATTTGCCAAGCATTGTCATGAACGTAAACTGAGATTTTTAGGTTGGTAAAGGTTGCTAAATTTGCGACTGATATTAATCTAATTTCAAGTTTGTACCAAGATTCCTCTAAGCCCTTAATGGAACACCTTGAAAGTAAAGGGTTAGACCATTTCCTTGCTAAATTGAGAGGATTCTGGCGTTAGCATAACGCGATATTTGCTCTCTGAATGTTGGAATGGCAACTAGGAATTCCGATTAATCTCAAATTTGCGAATCATTCTGACTGAAAACCCAGCATTCATTAATCTGAGCACTGTGCTAGCATCTTTCTCGTTTGGATTCTTAATTCGTATTTTTTCATCAGCTGTCTGACTATAGCATTATTTAATTGCAATTCTATCCAACCATTTCTTTTTTGATTTGGTCGCCTTCAACTTGGTAAATGCATGCTATCTAATAAGATATGTTTCGTTATCATTAATCTTCTAAGCTTAATTATTTGTAGAAGATTTCATGTTCAAGTGCCTGATTGTATCACGTTTGAAAAGTATCGATTAGATACGAAGCACCTACAGTATAATTTTCCAGCCTGTGGTTTTACAAACTACTTAGTTCCTATTCAAGGTAACACAAGCCTCTGAAATTGCATTTCAAACAACCGACAGATTGGAATCTATAAATTTTCGTTTATGTAAAACTGATGTTTGTATACAGCCTTTCAATCTATATGTGCACCAGTTTAGGATATGTGAGCAGAATATTCATTTAACGAAGTTTACTATCTTGCAAAGTGAAAACTTTGTTCCAAAATTGCGTGTGAGAAAAAGTTGAGAAAACCACATATATAGCGGGGTCGGCCGAATAGGGGTCTATCTAATAGTTCTGCTTAAGAACCCTTCTGAACAATTTCGTTTAAAATGAAAATTGTTGTTAATATTCATTGTAAGTGACTTTAGCTAGTTTTGTGTTATCAAGCCGTAAGCAGTCTTTTGATTCAATAGAAAAAATCTTATGTATTTTGTCTGATATAGCCAGTCTCTTACTCCCGACAAAAAGAATATTTTAAATTGTCCTAATTTTTATCTAAAAAATAAGACGGTAATTTTCTAATTGAAAAGAGGAACTGCATTAAAAAAGATATCAAAAATTTTTGTAGCATATAGATTTGTCAAGTTTTTAACAAATATTTATTCTCGGGACGGAAATTAAGAAAATTCAAGACGATATCATTTCCTTTTATCAGAGAAATAATTTATTTTGCGTCAACAAATTTCAGTTCCTTCCTTCGGTCCAAACTTGATTCTTTCACACAAGTTGATTTTGTCTGAAAATTTATTTCACATAGTTACATTCTAAAGTTTCGAAAATGTCCGGAATATCACCGATAGAGCTTGTCAACCAATATATCATGCATGGGACAGGTGTATCTCCTGAAAATGATTCTTAAGTGTTGTGATGAGAGTTCTTTGAATAATTTACAAAAACTGCGTCCTTTATCGGCCTCTAATTCTTCGAATAAAAAGAAGGAGTAAATTTGATTTTCCCTACAACAGACTTGAATTTGTTTGTTTTAAACTGACTGAAAGACGAATTCTCATATACTCGTGTATGCAATGACAGTAGGGCTAAGCACACTGGAGAAACCTGCGTTAGGCATTTTATGCCGGGTTTCATAAAGACCGTTTTGTACTGTATTTACCGAGGTTTCTAAGTAGTTCGCCATATTTGATCTTAGAATACCAGAGCAGATGTTTTCTGGTGGATTCATTTGGCTTGTTCTGAAAGGCTTTTATCAATCGACTTATCCGGCAGTGAGTTTGTGCATCTAATGGGTTGATATTGTATAGCTGATCCATCAATTTGCATGCTCATGGATCGATGCTAGGTCAACTTTTGTTCCAAATCGATTAAGATTTTCCATCGATTTTGGCTGGCAGTTGCTCAGTTTTTAAACCACCGATAAGCCAAAAATCATATTCTTTTCATTTTATGTTAGTGTATAATTGTCCTTTGCTTTAATTTTCTCAAGCCTTTATCCAAACTATGCTGAGTTATTTCGCTACGTTTCAGTTCTGAAATTCATAAACAACTAAACTTTATTGTGTAGGATATCACTGTTTATCAACGTTTACCTAGCATCATAGTTATGAAGGCAGCACTTGATGATCCAATAACGGATCAGTCTTGCTAAGGTACACAACAAAATGAATGCGTTTTGTATCTTAATTTTAACGACGTGATTGACGTCATCTTTACTCCTATTGGGTGAATAAGAGTTGACCTGAAGGTTATTTTAGGCTTTGGTTGGTGTATAGAGCGGTCAGGCAATCGTTGGTAAGTCTTCAGTAGAATAAAGAAGCTAAAATACCAATGTGAGTTTTGCAATTTTGTTTTGAAGTTTGAGGTTTTCATTTATTTTATGTATAGGTGTTTTTTAATCATCGCAATGATATAATTGGTCTTAATCCTTGTTTTTTTAAGATTTACCTCTGCAAATAACTTCATGTACAGTAAATCAACAAACAAGAATCTGTGAAAATGTCAAGACGTGAATTAAGACAGGTTGCCTTGTAGCTTTTGAGCACTGGTACGCGGAACTCGATTCGATCCTGCCTGACGGAGTCGTCAATGTAGTTTGATCTTTAGATAAACAAAACAACTTACAGAAGTGCGAATTCTTGTTTCAGAAATCAGTCAATAAAGAATTACAGCACACCGATACTGCCTTGAGTAAAATTGAATGGCAAGCTGAAATATTTATGAAGCTCTGATCAATATTAACAAAGAAACTTTTGACGTTTGAGTCGTGAAGATAAAAGGGATTCTACGCGTATTGTTCAAGCCGATGTTACAACGCTGTATGTGGTATGCTGTTATTACAAAAAGGGATGCGATTTTGCAAGAGTCAGTCTTACCCCAGTATTAATCTACAAATATGGCTTGTCACGGTTTTTAAAGGTACGTACATGTTTATTTTTCATTACTGTTCTGCTTAGTTTTAGCTTTGACAGCTCACGCCTTATAGTTTCTGGCGTTCATAAAAAAACATCATCAATCTTTAAATCTGCTGGACATTGTATGCTTCTAGTCTGTCCTATACCAAACTACATTCAATTCTGTGAACCTTATTTATTTTTTATGCTTATGATAAACCTGTTGGCGCTGAAGAGATGGGGGAAATTTGCGCGCAATTCAGACATACGCTGCAAAAGTTTTGAGGTGCACTGAAACAACATATTCTTAGCGTTTTCAACACCATCATATCTTAAAAAATTGAGCTTAAGCTGATTTTAAGCTATCACCTCATACTTTTGAGAATATTTATATGTTTTAATTCAACTTCATATTGATTTCGATAAGAGACTTTCATCATTCTCCCGGTGGCAGTTTTTGTGCGCATCAAATTATCTTCATTAGTAAGAACTCAGTTCGTGTATAACATTGCCATTTTAATCCTTGGAACGCAAAATGAATACTGCATAGAAAAAATGTTTATTCAAAGGAATCCGTGAAAATTTTGTTTAGCGTTTCTTATTCTCCTGTTAGATTTGATTGCTTTTGGGTTTCACTAGGACTTAAAATCGGTTGACATTGTGCTTAAAATGATGCTTTAGCAGATGAATTAAATATACTAACATTTGTTATGATATATTTTCAGCTAGATCTGAAAAGCTTGAAAGATATTCACCGCCACTAATGTTTTATTTTTTCAAAGTACTTTTTACTCGTATAGAAAGAAGGCACGCTAAAGTTATAATTTTTTTGTTTGCTACAAACTTGAGCTTTAGATGTGGGTGTGACATGCTAACAACATGACACCAAACAGAAATGATTCTTCGTGAATAGAAACGACACCAAGCTGATTTGGACACACCAGCTTCTCAAGTGCCGTTTCATGTTCATGTTTTACGCATCTTTTGTCGCTTTCGTATAACCATGACGAAAGTAGCAGCTCTGCAAATGCCGCATTGTTGCTATGCCTTCATCCAATGTAAGAATGATCTCAACTTCATAAATATTAATTGCTTTTGCACCAGTTTTTGCATGGACAAATTCGATAAGGCGTCCGACAATACTTGGTCGCTTTAATATCAAACGATACTGATAAAACACCCGAGTTAAAGTTTTTTGGCAGCTTTTGTCGATTTCTATCTTGTTGAATGAAAAAGCAGGTTTATCTTGTAATTACTTCTTTTGAGGAGAATCAATCTTATGGATCATGAAAAAAGGAAGTTTATAATCCGTGACATCCTGGAATTAGAATTCAGGGAATACTTTTACTTTTTGCCAACGAAATAATTTATTTGTATGATGAATAAAGAATGATGGAAGAAGAAGAAAATGTTGGATTTAGAAAATACCTATTTCTTCATACAGAAGTAGATAAATTTTTCCCGTTCTTTTATGAAAACAACTATACAAATAAACGGAAAACTACATAGAGAGTCATCTGGATCTATTTGTGCACCAAACATTGGCACAATTCTCTCACTTAGATATTGCTTGAACAGATTCTTAAGTAACTCTCTATTGCTGCCTTTGTACTGAGCTGGTAGGATTTATTTCGTTATTCTGCAAATAGCTCAAATTGAAAAACATCAAAAAAGGAGGAGAGAGCAACAAGATCTGAGATTCTTGGCTAACAGAAGGGTGTAATTTACAATCTTTGGTGCGCGATTCTACTTTTGTGGCTCTTTTGTCTCATCATTGAAAGTAGGGGGCAAAGCTAATGAAAGTAGGGAGCAAAGGCTACTGAAAGTGGGGGGCCAAGGCTAATGAAAGTGGGGGGCAAAGTTACTTTCACCTTTGATTGTAACTTTGAAATTACCTGCTTCACAAAAAAGTGGGAGGCCATGGGCACCCCGGCCCCCCGCTTCCCCAACCCCTGGTGGCGTGGGCCCTATTATTTCTTAAATAACATGCTTTAACTCATTATTCATTTATCCCCGTGAGAATTTACACATTAAACTCTTTGCTGGAAATACCGCTCTCATTACATCCCAGGAGATCCAGATGTACATAAATGCATGCATAAGCAACTGAAAGAGAAAATTCACATACAAATTTTAAACTTACACTGTTGCTATCCTTGAAGAACGCTGTTTATAAATTGGTAAGAATTCGTCATCCGCCTTGGATTACACAAAAATGTACGCTCAATATTCTGCTGTTTCAAATCTTTAAGTTCACATTAGGCACGTTTTTATTGATCTCTAGCTTTCTCTACCTTTATATAATATTAAATCAAGTAAGGCTTTAACAGTCATCACGGTATGTTAGCACGGGTGTTATTTTCAGTTTCCAATCATTCTAGCCAGCAGAATTATCAAAATAATCCTTTAACTACAACACCCAAAGAAAAACTTGAAGTTAATTCCAGTATTGTACCTCCTTGATGTAGAATATTTAAGATGAACTCTCGGTGCGAGGATGGCTCGGTAGTTAGAGTGGCCGACTGAGACCCTGTCATGATGAAACTTTCACTAAGAGTGGGGCGAGTCGGCACCTCTCTGCAATTCAAGGCATGTGCATTACGAAGTGTGGTCACATCGGAAGAAGGGCCAGGACACTGGTCGATGAGCATAGCATCGCAGTGTCCTTCAATCCGCTACCAGATTCTAGGTAGAAACACAAGCCAATATAAAGCTTTCCTCGTCATTCTTAAATTTTCCTAATAACTGTGGTTCATTTACTCTCATTTTTCTTTTATAAAAAAACCATCATATTTGTTTATCTGCGATTGCCATTATTATTTTCGCTTTATGTTACCTTAATATTCTGTAATAGCTTCATTCTGTTCCAAAATCGACCTTTATGAAGCTATATCAAGAAGCTATCTTCTTTTTCACAATCAGCATTGTTTAGACCTTGCCTCCATCCCGCAACTTTTTAAGTTGCGCAACCAGCCCTGCTGTTCAAATTTTGTACCGTTTCAGCTAGCTCTATTTCGATATGAAACTAAAGCTTCATTTTATTGAATTCTAGTTTTTCTAGGCCAAAATCCCTTTGTTTCTAAATTAGACATCAGTTTCAAACTTATCTTATGAAAACGTACAGTTCTTCGTAAATGAAAATAGCAAAGGAAGAGGTCATAATCATAATCATAATGCATTTATCAGCTTCTTCCGCAACATTAGTCTCTATTGCTAACATATGCTAGATCCTGACGTTAAAATCTAATCCTTGAATCTAGATAAATGCTCTCTGGTGTGTCATATCTATTCAAGGTCATTTGAGCTTCTTTCGTAGCATTAGAAATGTTATTTCCTAGCCCTAAGATGAGCTGCACTTTGGATTTCTGAGTTCCGTGTCATAATGATACTTTGAACTAAGAAAAGCGTATTCTAGCTAATTTTAAATATTAAGCAAGCAAATAGAACTCGAAGTTTTGCCCAGCCAATCGCATATTATAACAGAATATTGTGGATGATTGGCCTAAAAAATTTTCAAAGAATCCAGAGCTGTTTACTCACAAAAATTATATTGTTATTTTAAAAAGGAACTGATACAAACTGAAGTCGACGTAATTCTTGGAAAATCTAAAGCCAGGTACTTCTTTTTTATATTAGAATTCATCTCAGAATCACTCCATTGCACAATAAGGTCGTTTTTGTGAATAAATTAATCGTTTAAGTTATTATCAGTTATGTATAATAAATTTGGTTTTTTCATGTTAGAAATTTGACATCAAAATGATACTTGGAATCAAAAGTCTGATCGTAACTTGCATGCCAAACAATACTTCATGTAACTGACACGAGGTCTGCTTTTTTCATCTACTGACGCCATCAAAAATACGTTGATCCGGTTTTTCAAAATTGATCTCTTCGATGTTTGACAAGTTAATGTACTCAAGAATTGAAATTTTCAACAGGTCACAAACATGACGAAACTTATTAATTTGGTAACAGGATTTGATTTTGGGTATTAAAATCTTTGTTGTCTGCTTCTCGCTTTTTTTATTACTTTTCGGATGTATGCCCTCAGGGTTCTGAATCCTCTAATGTGATAAAAGTTGTGTTTATTAAGGATGAGCTATTTCAAATTTTCTTTGGAATGATTCCATATCCCGATGATTTTTATATCAGACTGACGTAATGCTTTCACAATAAAATCATTAGTAACAAAAGTGCCGAAAGAAGAGGCTTGTGGCACACTGTTTCTTTATAGTAGAATGCAGTAGATAATGTTGATAAAATATTACTTAAGTGTTGCAACAAATCTATATCGTGCGAAGTTACTGCTTGGTAATAACATTGGCTTGATTATGTGCTCGAGCGGAAAAGTGGAGACGGACAGCTTCTTCTACATCTAAGTGGAAAGCAAAATATCCGGACTTCACTGGCTAGGTAAGTCCAATCAGCTAGCCCTCTTGACATGCCAAAATCATGCAACGATTACCCAAATTACCGAGAAATTTTTTCTGTTCCTCAGTACTAAGCAACAAACTGCGTAGCACTCTTCAAAGTTGCACTGTTAAGGTAATTCTTTGCCTAAAATTTTGGGTACGGTCAAATCTGACGCTTTTTACTGACTCATTGTGCTCATAATGACAGTCAAGTAGATTGCAAGTGCATTGCACCAGCAATTATACAGATTGCATTCCTCGTGAACGATAAACCGTCAATAGATCTTATAGAACATTTCAACAGTAAACGTTCTATGCTATTTTTTTCTTTTTTCCAAAGGCCGGAAAAGTGTTTGTTTTTTTAACCTTGTAGAACTCATATGACTGACTGTTTTTTAAAGAAAACTGTTCTAGGGTTTTACAGTTTATCCTTTATTGTGTTATAAATGGAGTGAGCGCATTTGAGCGCATTTTAAACTGCTAAAAAATCCCTTGTGAAGACTGTATTAGTATCGAGGCAATACTTAATTCCTTGATACAGAAGACCTATATAATCTTTTTCCATTATCAAAAACGCCTAATCCCCTTGAAACATCTGCTCCTCCAATTT